ATATAAGAAAATGTACCAGTGCCACTAGACGCAGGTGAAAGTGATATTTAAAAAAAAAAATGCAATTAATGCATTATTTAAAAAATTGATAAAAATAGTACATTAAATATAAAAATTTTTCTTATAATAATAATTAAATAATCCTTATCTTATGGGAGAATTTCCCAATAACTTATCGGCATGAATTTTCAATTTTAATTTTATTTAATAATTTTAATAGATAACATCATAAATTTTATTTTAAAAAATTTTTTACACCAGTTCATCGAACTTAATTATAACTAGTTTTAAATTCATACTATGCATATGCATAGGTAATCAAACGTTATATAACATTATTAGTTTTAAAAGAATTGTATGAGTAAAGTATTAGAATGTTTATATCAGCATAATAAATACATGACTATATTTAGCATACCCAATTTTTTTTTAACAACATTGGAAAGTCAAATTTTGATTTTTATCAAATATTTAATAATATTATGTAATTTTAAATTTTTAAGGTCAAGAAAATTGTTATTTTTTTAATTTTCAAAAAAATATTTGTCAAATATTATTTATTTATAAATTTAAAGTTATATATTTATATTATGCATGAGGCAAGTGTATTTATAATAATTTTTGTAATATAATATTATTTCAAATTTTAATATAATTACAATTTTAGAGAATAATTTAAATTTTATTTTCATGATTATAAAAATATTGATAATGGTTGATAAAAAACCTAAGTCACCCTAAATAATTTGTTATCATAATTTTATTTACAATTTAATAAATAATCTTGATTGATTATTAAAAATAAAGCTATAAAAGTATAAAACAAAAAAGTGTGATATAGATTTTTTTTCTATTTTAAAAAAATAATTTCATTTATAAAACTAAATGATTACAAAACTTAAGAATCTCACTATGCTCATGCATAAATAGAAAAACAATTGTAACAACACCTAATAATACATATAATCTAATTTAAAAATAATAATAATAATACAAACAAGTTAACTCTCTTAAAGACTACTAACTACAAGCATAAAATAATTTTTTTTTTTCTACTCCCATCTTTATTAACAAATTAGCAATATAGTTTGCTACTTTGCTTTCGCAAAATTAATAATTTCAATTTTGCTTAAAACAATTACAAATTCTCCGTTATTTCCAATGTCATGAATTTATATTGAATATCTGAGATATAATTGTCACTTTAAATTTAATAATAAATATATTCACCTAATTTTAAGGGGATAAAAATAATTGATTAGATAAAATTACATATTTAAAAGACTCAATGTGAAAATAAAGTTTGATATTAATTGTAAGAAATTTTTTGTAATATTAATATATTAAATTTATAACTTAATTATACTTATGTTTTTTTAATGGATAAAGGAGTTGTATTAATATATATATATATATATATATATATATGTTTTATTTATGAAGGAGTTGAACTTTTGCTTAATATTATTTTTAGAAAAATATTTGTATTTATATTACTATCAATAAATATTATCTTAGGGATGTATTTGATGTATAAGATTAAGATAGGATAGGATAAGATGATATTACGATTAGTATTATATTAAATAATATTATACTATCTTATGTTTGATGTATGCAATGATTATGATAAAATAATTAATTTATTTATTTATTTATCAAAATTATCTTTTTTCAAATTTTATACAATTTAAAATATTGATATAATTTTTAAGGGTATAATTAAACATATAAATTTAATCTCATTGATTAAAAATAATTATTTTCACTTTGAGAGGATTGAATAATCTTATGCCAAGAGGATATTAATCCTTTTTACAATCATTATTCCTCTCTTCACATATAAATCAAATGCAATATAAGATGATTATTATCATACCCTATTAATAAACATATACATAAAAAATGACCTAAATGTATTAAAAAGTTACTATTATTAACCATAAATGTAATAAGTAAAAAAAGATATAGATTAATGCAATTTTCCCTTCAAAATAACAAATTCTGAATTCTTGTGTAATCTACTATCTTGTTTTAAAAAGAAAGCAAAATTTTTCCTAATTTAACGATATCATTAATCATGCTCATTTCTCTTTCCCCATTTATTACATTAAATTTCATTTATTTTTTTATAAGTAATAGAAAGATAAAAAATATATTCATGAGTAATTAACTTTTTATTTAGTTTCTTTTTTTATTTGTGTTATTAACTAAATTAATTGTAACTTACTCATATAAAGTAAAAATATTGGATATTTAAAATGTAATAAATGTAATAAATTTAGTCTAACTAATTATTTTTTAAGTAATTAAAAATGTTACTATAAAAATAATAAAAATGTTTTAAATAAATAAAATACATTTATTAGAAAACACATAGTGATTTTTTAAACCCATCTACATGTCAAAAATATAAACTATTCACATTTAACTATTTCCCTTTTATCAAAGGCATTAGCTTTGATATATATGAATCAAATTATAGGAATTTTTATTTCAACATTGTGTGTATTTTACTTTTATGTAAATTAAATGTGAACAACTGCTTAATATTCTTTTGGAAAGAACATTTGAATTTATATTACTATCAATAAACATTATCATAAATGTACTATAAAATTACTATTATTAACAATATAATGTAACAAGTAATGAAAGGCATGAAATTAATGCAGTTTTCTTTTCAAAATTACAAATTATGAGTTTTTGCCTAATCTGTTATCTTTTTTAAAAAATAAAATATTTTCTAATTTAATAATATCATTATTATCAATTCATTAAATGGGTCATTTCTCTTTCCTTATTTATTACATTAAATTTCATTTAATTTCTCATAAGTAATAAAAAAATATGAAAATATATTCATGAGTAATTAGCTTTTTATTAAAATTTTTTATTTATATTATTGATTAAATTAATTATAATTTATTCATATAAGATAAAAATATTGGATATTTAAAATGTAATAAATATAATTAATTTAATCTAACTAATTATTTTAAATAAAAAATATTATTAAAAAATAATTAATTATATAAATTAATTGAATCAAACTTCAAATTTTATGAAATTTATTATAAATAAAATTTTATAAAACAGTTATGCAGTGTCATATCATTCTAATCATTTAATGCCATTTCATCAATTTCTCATGTCATTCGGCACATCAATTTTAAAATTTCTTAAAAAGGAAATTTGTTTCCAAACTAAATTTCTACCGAGCCCAACACGCTAATGTTTTTTAGAGCATTAACCATTTGCCTCTCTACTACAAGCAAGCCCAACACCGTTTATTTTTTCATCATTGGCCGCTCCACAATTCAAATATTCATATTTAGTTGAGCAATATTACGAGATTTAAGTTTTTCTCAAATAACAAGAAAAGTTTACCAAGTAACCTTCGAAAGACCGTAAAACCATGAAAATTAAACCACAAGTGGTTTTTTAATTTCTTGTAGATTCAAGGGTGATATATTAATTATACCGTTATTGTGCTATTGATTGATACGGTGCTGAGTATTTTCTCTCTAAGTCGTATCGTTCTTCTATACCAATCCCTACAACATGTTTGATTTTTTGTTTCAGTGAAGTTTTAAGTTCTGCTTTTTGAAAAAGAAAATAGGGAAGGGCTTGATTGATTGATTGAATGACTAGTCGCAAGATAAATCGCCGAGTCTAGTTTTGCTGGAAGAGCTTGTGCGTGGTCTCTCCTTTGGTTTGGTTTAGTCATGTGAACCTCTTCTTTGAGATCATCGTTCAAGGAGGCACTCTTCACATCCAGATAATGAATCCTTCAATTGAATTGAGCAATTACTGCAAAGTCTGATTATGGTGATTGGTTTTATATTGAAAAATGACAATCGGCAAAACACCAGCAGATGAAGAGTTAGGTGTTACGAAGTTAAGGCGGGATGATTTTTGTGAGAAAATTTTAGAAAGTGATATGGAAAATGACATGTAAAAAATTGATGAAAGACATTAAATGATTTGAATGGAACATCGGTTGATATAATATAACTGTTTAACTAAAATATTTTTCTGTTTAATTAGAATTTTTTTAACTCTTAATTTCAATAATCAAATTTTAAATATTGATATCTTAAATTAAAAAAAAAAAACACATAACAATTAAAGATTGGAATCAAGGAAGAGCTAAGTAGGTGAAAGAAGAAAAGCATCACGACTTTAACGAATTGAACACTACAATAGTCTTTGGCCCAAAGAAAAAAAAAAAAACACTGCAACAGTCAGCAAACAAACTAGCAGTTCCAGTCAGTGTGTAACCAGAAACATGGCAAATTGTTGAAACCACACATAATAAATTTGTGTCAACACCTTCAAAAGTAAGTAAGGAAACTATGTTTTTAATTTGAAAATTTTATATTTGAATCCTAGAATATTTGTGAGATTTAAAAATTGGGAAATCAGTACTTTGTTATTCTGCAAGACCAAATCATATGTATCAAAAGAAAAACAAAATTTGTATAAACACTTGCAAGAGAAAACAGAAAAGAAATTTGATCTCATCCAAATGAATTCTACTATTAAACATTTCTCCTTGGAAATATATGAGAAGGTAGCAAAAGTAACCTAAACTGAAATTAGAGAATTTTTCTTATAGAGAAGTTCACAGTAAAAAAAAAAAATAATTATAAATAAATATTGAAATTTAAATTCAAAATTTATGATCGAATGAATTGATTAAGCTAAAATTCATAATGATATAAATTAAATAAACCAAAGTCTGAATTTAAAATAGAGAACTTTTCACTACATCAAGACTAATCTTGTCTATCCCCTTGCAATAAACAGGTTCTATGAAGCTTTTGTAACATTTGATATCCCCATTTTGAATGTAAATTAGGATGCCAAAATGGCAAAGATGGGCTTAATGACCTTGACCCAACCCGGAGTTTTGAGTTTTCAAAGGTTCACTCAAAAATCATTCCTTTTCGAAGTTTAAGATGCATTCTTAAAAAATCAGAGAAAAACACACCCTGGAGACTGTAATTACGAACAAAAACCGAACACCGAAGAGCTGCAGCTTCCACGTTTCCTTTCATGCACCAGAGTCACAACTGAAACCAGAACTTCCCCTGTAGGTGACTCACTGTACCACCACCGCTTCCATTCACTCCACGCCACCTCGGCCCTCCGTACACGTCATGTACTCCCCCACGTGTGCATGTTCACTGACCTCTTGGGTAAGTTTATCAATCCTCCCTCGCCCTCCCCCTTCCCTCCCTCTCCTCGATTTCTTCTCCTTGCTTGTCCTGGTTCAAAAGTCTCACTTCTACTCTTTTTTACCAATATTAAGATAATTACAAAACAGCCGTTGTGTCTACCTTTGGATTGTTCTAACTTTATTTATTACCTTATATTTTTCTCTGATAGTGCTATTACTTCTGTGGCCCCCACACAACTTTCCTGGTGGGGTCCTCAGTTTTGTTTTTGTGGGGTATGTTCATACATTGCCATGCTTTATTTTTCAGTTCTATATCTGGGGTAATCTTGGTTTCTGTTGCAAACCTGCAACACTGTTAAGAGTGTTAGAAATTAGGATTGAAGTAGAAGTGTATAAGAAGGGAAATGGCTGAGATATTGAGTGAAACGAAGAGTGTTTCAATGGAAAACAATGTTCTGAACCAGAATTGTGATGAACTTATGAGTGTAGTACTAGGAAAAGAAATCGCTGGTCAAGGTGTTGTCAATGGGCATAACCAAGATGACCAGCAACTCCAGGGTTCTGGTGATAATAACACATTGCTTGCTTTGCAAGAAATTCCGGGACCCTCCTCTCCTCCTGTAAAGATTAATGGTGACCATGTTGTTAGTAATGAGGTGGTGGAAAAGGTGAAGGAGAAACCTAAGCTCTTGGTGACTAATGACATTAAACCTCGTCTTCGATGGACTCATGAGCTTCATGCTTATTTTGTAGATTCTGTCAATCAGCTTGGTGGTCCTCAAAGTCAGTGTTCATTTCCTGTTATTCTCTAGCATATTCTACTTCATTTTCTCCAAATAGTTTTTAGTGTGAATATCCAGTCTCCTTTTGAAAAATAAATTAATGTTGATGAATTGGTTTCTAAAATGGATGGAATTAACATATGATACTCGAATGATTGCATCATGTTCATCTTTGTGGATATGTAGAAGGCGCAAGAAAATGACTCATAAAATAGCTTGATTTTTCTTTTTCATTTGGAAGTAACTTGCATGCCTTGTTGTGTTTAACAAGATGTCTAACGGGGTGTTTCTTCTATTCATCCATTTCTCACTTGCATCTAGCACTGAGGCTGGCTCAGTGGCTTTATTAGTCCTTTTATGTGGAAAGTTGAATTCTCCTCTAGCTGTATTTCGCTTTCTCAAACTTTGAAAAATTTTCTTTTCCTTTATTTTCTTTGGATAATGATATATTCTTGTTTCTTTGGAAACAAATTCTGCTTGCTTAACTGTCTGCTGTGAGCATGTGTTACTACTCTCCTAGGCCATTCTAGAAAAATGCAAAACCTTTGCCGTCGAATTTTACAGTGTTTAAATGATTTAATATTGGAATCCATTCATCCTTATCTATGGAAATGAACCTTCTCTAATTTTTCCACTAAAACTATCATGAAACTTATATGTTTTAAGCATTTAATGATACAGAAATTTATATTTAATTTTTTTCCCCGTATAGTTTCATTTTCTTTAACTGCATGTTACTACTTCCCATTCTTTGTTCGAATACAAATATATGCAGTTAGTTTCTGCATACCATGCTTAATTTGGGCAGGTAAGATCAAATTGAATCATCAATGAAAGATGCATTTCTCCTCTCCCCCTTGAGTAAATTCCTATCATATCCCACTGCTTACCTTATATGTGTTTGCTTTCAAAAAATGATATTCTTTTGATCATTTTCAAATAAGATTAGCTCAAAAAAATGAGGTATTGTTTCTCCCACATTTTTTCTTCCTTGCTGTCTCTTTTTATGTGTAACATGTCCATGTAGATTTCACTGAGGAGGATTCATAAAAATCATTGCCACTTTGCTTAGCACATGCTTCAATTTAGTTTTTGCTGTGCCTTTCTACCTTTCTATGTATGGAGTGTTAAAATAAATTGACTTAACAGTAATCTAGGCAGTTTGTGTAGCTTTTTGGTGGCTGCTGACGAAATAATTTGTCGATTAGTGACTGTATAACAGATGTTAAACTTTTCTTTTTCTGATTTATATATATTCTTGTTGTTCTGTTACATTGCATCCTAGGAATATTGTTTGTACTCCACGGGATGCTTGTAGAAAGTTTGTCGACTTGTATTTTGTCGTTCTCTTTTCAAATACACTTCCGTTTAATGCCTTCTGTTGTGTTGTCATGGTTTTACTTAGCATTGATGATGTATGTTGAATTATGTGACTTCTTCAGTCATGTGTTTGACGAGACCAACTGCAAGTTTGTTGGCTTGTATAGCGTTGCACAATTGCTTTGATGACTTTGGATGTGTTCCCATTGTTCTAACTTGGCAACATTACAAGAAAATAGAGCATCTCTATAAGTCTGCAGATGGGCACAAATGCAGTTTATACCCTCTTTTTGATTCCAATCATCCCTTCAGTTTCATGCACCTGCAGTGCCAGTATTAGCATTTCTGCTTAGTATTAGCTATTTTTAACCATTTTGTATTAGTTCAGTTTAGTATGGAATCTATCACAATTGTATTGTTTCTCAATAATTTTCTGAATTCCATGCCAATATGAGTGTAGTGCAACCAGAGCACTCATCTTGCCTTTGCTGCCAGTAAGTTACCTTGCAGTTAGCATTACTTATTCAATGATCTGACCATAAATCTTAATTGCAGAAGCAACACCAAAAGCTGTTCTGGACTTGATGGATATAGGTGGACTCAGTCTTTTCCATGTTAAGAGTCACCTGCAAGTAAATTTTTATAGTATTCAATTTAAGCATTTCCTTTTTAGCACTTAAAACCAACTATTTAAAGTTTCCATGTGAAGGATTACTCATTTATTCCCTAATGTGCTAATCAATGTATTCCAGAAGTATAGACTGGGCAAATTTTCAGTGAAGGAGTGGCAGGACACAGCCAAAAACGGTAGGTTTTGTTATATCCACCTGCCTTCATTCTTAATTTGTTTTAAACATGCAATTTGATTCATTTTATTATGTGCTTATTTAACAACTTGTTCAATATACATACATGCCAAAGAAAGAAGGAACTAGAATAAGTTTTCCTATTAATTTCACAAGAATTATTAGGAAAAAGTTAAGACAAGGAGTATCTGATGGTTTTCGAGCCACCAACTTTCAAGAGGGGAACATTTCATTTACTGATGGAAATAGAATCTGAAACAATTAGAAAAGAATAGAAAGTAAACAACACTCCTATACCGGTTAGTAGGGAAAGTGAGTTTTACCAAATGAAACAAAGCCGTGTACAGAGAAATAAAAGTTTTGTAACAATTAATAATAAAACGTTATTCACTCATATCAAAATAATTATGATTTTGATTTTGAAGGACAAGTAATATTCATATTGTAGTGTGCATTTTTAGGTTGAATGTTTCTAAGTGTACTAACTTAGAAGTCAAACTGTAAATTTTCAATGGCTCTTCACTACATATTTTGTTGTTTTCTCTAATTGAAACCTTGAAAAAGATATGATGGAGGGGAAAATTTTTTATGATATTTCTTGGCCTTATTATTTCCAATGCTATACTGTTTAATATGTGTATCGGCAGACAAAAATGATAATATATATATATATATATATATATATATAGGCAGCAACTTGTTGGCCAAGGCTAAATTAAAGATTATCTTCTTTCATTAATTGATGTTTAAAGATGGTATTCAAGCTGACCATATTTTTTAAAATGATTCTGAATGCGAGGAACCTCAGTTTCTCAAGTTGTGGGAGGTTCACGCAGTGTTAATTCTTTGAACTCAGTACCATCCCGCACTAATGCATATAACAGGCATGTTTTTTCCTTCCATTGAGATGGTTTTACTTTTTATTTTTTGATTAACTGTTTTAAGGTTTTATTTGCTACTGTGGATTATTGGCACACAATATGCAGGGATCATAAAGCTAAAAGAAGTCCAAAACCGCAAAAGGAAATTCATGGAAAACTGTATCTGCAGATTGAGGTGAGTTCATTTAGGAGATTGTAAGGAAAAATAAATATTAATATATATTACTGTATATTTATTTATTCATATTCTAGTTAGAAAGATCTGTTTTCTCATTAAGTACACTCCGCTGAGCATCAGGAAGCACATATTTCTTTCTCTTTTTGATTAATCAGAATTAATCAGAGTCTTCAAGTTGAAATTTTTAAGCTTTTCCTGTCAATAATAGGATTCAAGGGAGTGACTGAGATCTCTTCATGATATGTATGATGATCCTTTTTATATTTCTGAAATTTGCAGTCAATCATTGCCCATTAAAAGAGCTAAATATCATTCTATTCCAGAAATGTTGTACACGATATACTAATAATCTTGTAGAAAGTGAAATTTCAATATAATTTCAATCAAATCTGAAAATGAAGAAGTCTTATATATTCTTTGTGGAGTATCCATAATATTAAAGCCATAATTTTGCAGGCTGAGAAGCATATTCAGAGGTGTCTGGATGCACAAAGGAGGTACCTGGACTCTGCACTGGACCGCACATGCAAGAAGCTTGCTGATCAATATTTACGCGATGCAGCCAAGGAAAATGCAATTCTGTATGGGCAAGCCTCTACTAATTTAGGAACTTTCACAACATTATCTGGCCCATCTGATTTAGGAACCATGGCCACAATGCCGCAGTTTTATTTCAACCAGCAGAATGCATATCCTACATATGACACACTGCCAACCCAAGCCAATCTAGGCCTTAAAGAGGTACCTTTTCGTTATCAGCCCCAAACCCCTCTATACCCTGCACCTGAAGACTTCTCATCAACTTCATACGGTTATTCTGCAAGTTCATATCAAGAAACTTTGCCAGCACTTTCTGGCAATGGGAAGAAAAGGGTCCAGCCTGTTGATGAGGACCCGATAGAAGCCTTTTTGAATTGGGATGATAATGAACCAAAGATCGTGGATGCTGGCTTTGGCTGTAACTACGGTATGTTTCAAGGGTTTCCTGGCACCTTTTAAGTAAAACTATGTAAAGACCAAAGCTACTTTGAGTTTTAAGTTTCAAGACTTTCCATCCTTGCATAAGACTAGTATTTCTGTAACTCTTCCTGTGTGTCGGCAAATATGAATGAAAAATAGTACGTTGTTTGCCCTTCTTGATAAATTATAAATCATGTTCATCCATGTGACTGCCTTTGAGTTTGATATTTGTACAATCAATTTGGACAGGAGGTTGTTGCTTCTAAACCAGAAGCACCTGTAGGAGCCTAGAGAAAAACATACTTGCCCTGCTTGTGCTTTACGTGTATATGTAATAGTATTGCAATCTCCAACTGTCCAAAGTCTAATCCAGTTACAGTCGATTGCTCCTTGAACGTTTAGGAAGCTGAAGCAAAAGATGCATCTTCCAAGGCCGCCGCTGCCGCTGCGGGTGGGTGTCATCGAAATACCCATTAGATTAAGATATCAACTATGCATCAAAGCCTACAGAGTTGAAGAGTTGATTGATAATGTGATGACCCCGGAGTTTTAATTAAATTTAATTAGTGGTGTTGTATTTTCTGAAAGTAATTGTTGGTTTTTTGTTATTTATTGAAAGGTAAAAGTGATCATCCATGCTATTTCAAAAGTAAATAGTATAAAAATAATACATGCAAAGCAAAAGAATTTTAAGTTTATAATTGATGTATTTTAAATATATAAAATTTTTATATTATCAATGAATGATATTTTTTTATTAATAAGTAAATTTTTAAAAATTATATTAATTTTTTTATATATTTATTTTAAAAATTAATTAATTATTTATGAAATGGTATCATATAAATATATTGTTAATGCATCAAATATAAATTTAATAATTTTTCATTATTTTCAACAAAAAAAAAAAAGAAAAAAATAAAGTAATCAAGATTCATGATAAAACAAAATCATATCATCTATAGTACATGTAAAATTTTTAATTGAATTGATATCACAAATCAAAATCTTCTCTTATTCTAAATTTTTATATACAAAATATATAGAATCCAAAAGAAATTCTAATTCTACTCTTTACCATTAAAAAAACTCATTGATAAAAATAAAAAATATTATATATGCATAGTTAATACTTACTAATTACTTTGCATATAGCAAACAAATTCAATTATAAAAAGAAAAGCAAAAAATTTATATTTAATTTACAATCAATATATTAAAAACTTTTCTTATTAAAAAAAATTCCATCAATTGAACTATAATATCTACAAGACTACGACTTCACCGACTATTCAAATTTGCATTTAATAAAGCCGTGCGCTTTATGTTTTTGCCTAACTCCTATGCCAAACAGAGCCGTTCCCCACCCAGATCACCATAAAAACTAGGAGAACCAAAGACCAAACCTGCAAGCCAAGAGCAGACCCTCCCTCTACTACGTGTGCATGGTGCCGATGGCGTCAAATATAAGCTGCTCGTTGACAATCTACGAGGCTAAAGCAAACAATGGTTTTGCCAACCCTGCTGCTGTCGCCGGTGGCATCATCGAGATACGAATGAAATTAAGATATAGGCTTTGCGTCAAAGCCTACAATGTTGAATTTTTGGTGGAAGATATCGTTACCCCAGAATTCAGCAATCTTTTTGCCATGCCATTAACCTTTCTGTTGCCTGAATTCAGTGTAATGCTTGTCTCCAATATGCTCGCAAGCCTCAATATCGATGCTAAAGTGCGTCACTTCTCGAGTCCGAAGATTGCTCAGTTTGCTGTTGATGTGGCCAAACGCCACGGTGCTACTGCTGCTGTTTCAGGTTTCAAGACGGTGGCTTTGCTTTCGGTTAATAAAATTGATTATATTCGTGAGGAGGAGTTTGATAGGATTTCGAGGACGTTAAAACTGGAAGACATTAGCGGTTCACAAGAGAAATTGCATGTTCAGGACGTCAAATCAGAAGAGAATTCTTGATGCAATTGTCAATTCTTTTATACAATTACCAAATCTTTGAATAGTTTTTTCAGGATTAAAAATAATAAAATATGAACAAAATTTGTTACGTATAAAAAAAATCTGTTTTTACAAATTGTATGTTTGCACAGTTTTTCTGTTTTCATCAACATTAGTTTTTTTTTTCATCAATATTCTTAATTTTCTTATGTTTCACTTAGCTTTCTATGTGATAACGTTCAGTTTCTTGCTATCTAAGTTATTAGAATGGGCATTAACCATAAACCCTAATTGATGAAAATGAAGTAATGATAGGCTCTTGATCCATCAATCAGATTATTTGTTATGCTTTTGATTTTCAAAGGTTAATGGCAGCTGGAATAATGAAATTTAAGCTACGAAATTAAAGCACCTAATTAGATGCTATGTTCTTAACCTCAATTACATACATGTTTATGGTTTCCATCTGATTAAAAATACGAGAGAAAATACAGAATTTTAAGTCCAACAATTTACAGCTTTCTAGAACATATATTTAATTGAGATATAAGCGTAATCCAAGAAAACTCATAACTAGATAACTGAGGAAAAATTGAAAATGGCAGAGCAGCGTGTAAGGCTGTGACTGAAAATCACAAACTCCTATAAAGCTATCAAGTCCTAACCTCAACAACCATCAAAATAAAAGATAATTTTGAATGATTTTGAGAGCCTCTTTGATAGAGTAACATGATTAGCTACCAAAGGCAACTTTAGCGAAATCAAAATGACGAATCGAGACATCATCCCCTTAAATGCCAAAGTCTTTTCCAGCTGGTTGATGAAGATCACCAAATGAGACTTTTAATCGATCTTGACGGATGAGAAAAGATAATGAACAAAATAGAATGATGTCATGAAGCCAATGGTGCCTGTAGACAACATGATTGCAATTGCCATGATCATTGAGTAGCCAAGATAAAGAATAGCTGACACAGGACCACTCAAACTCTGTAGGTCAAAGACCAAGTAATTGATGGAGTATAGGAACACATAGAATGCAACTGAACCCGAAGCAAAGAAAGCCTTCCACCACCATCGCCAGTCCTCAACACAGAGATGCATGTAGGTAAGGACCACTGACACTTCAGCACAAACAATGATCAGTAGTAGAAGAACTATAAGCAAGAAGCCAAACACATAATAAAACCTGCCAAGCCAGATGCTAGAAAGGATGAAGAAGAGTTCAATGAACAGGGTACCGAATGGAAGGGTTCCAGCACCAAGAACAAGAAGCCATGATGGGCATTTGCGCGCTGGAATCTCCCTAGGAATCTGGTTGGTTCGTACAGGATATTGAATAGATTCAGCTCTAGTCCCTAAGAATCCTCCCACGAGAGTGAGAGGCACAGAAATGCAGAACCAGAGAGACAAGAGTACAAAATACAGGGAAATGGGAATTGCACCAGTACTTTTGCTGCCCCACAGAATAAAATTCAATACTGTAAGGATAACAAAGACAATTCCAGGAAAGAAGCATGCAACCAACCAGGAAACGGACCTCCATCCTTCTGAAGTTCCCTTGAGAGTTCTCCAGAGATGTACAGCAACATACCCAGCAGCAATACCCAAGAAAAGATAAAGAATAATCATCCCTGTCAGTAGCATTCCTCGTGAAGCAGGTGACATGAAACCTAATGCAGCAAAAACTATAGTGACAGCTGCCATTCCTGTAATCTGAACTCCATCTCCAATCATCACACAGAGAAGCTTCGGGCAGTCTGGTTCTCTGAAAACATCACCAACAACAAGCTTCCATCCAGAAAGCTCCTCATTTATTTGTGCTTGAGATTCTTTGTCCAGTTCCTCGTACCTTGTCAAATCCCTCCTCACAGTCCTCAAGAAAATGACAAACACAATACCAGCTAGGAAAGTGATAACCATCAATGAATTTAGAATGGAGAACCAGTGCACACGTGCTCCTTCCATCTTCAAATAAGCATCCCAGCGAGATGGCCATCTAATATTACTTTTAACAAATTCAACCTCATAAGTAAAAGAGATCCTCTCTTGTTCCCCTATTATCTGTGACTTGTCTAGCTCCAAGGGGCAGTTCACAGGGGAGATGCTGTCATACATGTGAAGTTTAGTCATGACTTCAGGATCATATTTAACACTGCATGGAACCACCTCAAAGCCAACAATCTCAAAACCAGAGGCCTTTTTCTTATCAGCTTCAGAGATTACACCCATTCCTTCTTCCCCAGTTCCAATTATCTTCACAGCACTCCCCTCATACTCATGAACCAAGACCTTGAACTTGAGATGATTGATAATGTAATCATCATTGCTATTTGGTGGAGTATACCCAACCGGGAATCCAGTCCACTGAATGTTAATCCCATTTTGTTTTGCAATCCTCATCACCGGCAAATTGTCTAGTATCATATTCACTTGATACAAATCGCGAGTCCTCTGTTTCAAAAGCTTAACCTCATGCTCATTCAAGGGATTGGTGGTGCAAAGGTAGAGAGACTCATTCACGTTCATTCGAAACCGATAAGGGGAGTTATCAATCTGATCTCCCATAAGAAGTTCACCAAGATTCTCGGCACTTTTCTTTATTCCACTGAGAGGTTTGCAGTAAGGGAGACTGTAATAACTAAAAGGAAGCTCGGTTTCAATGGAAGTCAAGGAATTAACTTTGGCAAATATAGAATCCGTTGTCGAATACGTATGCATGTAACTCCCAGGCAGGTAAAACCCATGACAAGAATGGGCAAACAGAAGCACTAACAGAAAAACCCAGCAGGTCCCGGGCATCTTCCTTTCTGAGAAAACCATGATAATAGCAGATCTTGAAATATACAGATCCAATCTAAGCTACTGTAAACTGAAGCATTCAATATAAAAAATCTACAAAAAAATAAAAAAAAAAAAGATTTTCAATATTCAGTTTCGATACAAATTTATCCCAAACTTAACATTAATTAAAATAATAAAAACCAAAAAAGAAGAAAAAACACATGCCTAAGCCTAAGTATAAAATAATTTCATTGCATAAAATTTAAAAGTAGTAGATCCATATACCCAAACGCAAAAAAGCATCAAATAATAAAAAGAAATAGCATTTCAACAGAAACTACTGAAAATTTTATCCATATTAATAAAAAACCATAAAACAGATCAGAGTACGGAACAAAATAAGAATTGGCAGAT